GAAGAAATGGTAGAGAAAAATTTCTTATTGTTTGGAATGATTCCAAATAGCAAAAAAAAAACCGCTTATATACACATTTTTAGCGCTTTTTTAAACGCTTTGTAGGCTACTTGCTAAATGCGCTGTATGCTACTTGTAGTCTATTATCTGTGATTTTATTTTTTATATAACGTATTTATAAGATGCAACTGCAAATTTTTTATAGAATCATATGTTTTTTAGCCTAAATTAATTCTTCTTATTATACTATATGTAATTACTGTAATTACCTTGATTCAAATTGATTACAACTGGAAGCACCGAAATGATATTTAATCAATTCAATATATTCCGCGTCGTATTTTATTACACGCAAAAGACCGGTACTGTTCATCATCATGTTATATTATATTAGCTGTATAAAAGCTCGATTTCGCCTCTTTGCTTTGCTGCGTTTTCATTGCGGCTTCATAAGCCACATTCAATCACAGCTGGCGATGATTCAGCATTGTGCGTGCGTGCGTGTGTGTGTGTGTGTATATGTGTGTATGTGTGTGAGGTTGCATTACTATTCTCAATTCTCGACAATCGTCGTCGTCGTGGTGTGACAGTAAAGCGCAGTTAAGCCGCGGTTAGTGTATTCGAGGAGAGTCCTGACACTTCGCAGACGCCTTGATCGTAACTGCATAAACATCCGCGAGTACCGAATGGCACATCGCGGAAAAGCACGACTGCAGTTCTGGCCAGAATTTCACTTCGCGAAAATATACCGAGGCAAACGTAAATCAGTAAGCGGACTTCTGTTCCACGACCTTGCGGCTTTTTATCTTGGTACCTTGCATTTATCGCAAATTCGAGATAAGCGAAGAATTTTCGGTTCATAATCTCAGCGAATTTACTACAATCGACTGCTTGAAATTTCTGGATGGCGACGGAATTAGATCCGTAATTCTCTATTACGCGGTTCATTTATCGAAAATGCGTCCGTCTGTGATACGGACTTAGACATATCGGAGCTTAATAGAATGGAGTTATCGGATTGCGATATCTCGTGCTATATTTGATGATCAGAATACGTTTCTTGAAGTCACATGAGCTTATTTAATGCTAAATGCGTGATAAAAATATTTGCGTTCTGCTGACCTGGATATTTTAAAAATAACAAGGAGCACACGATTTTTATATTAATATTTTCATCAACATTTATTAATTAACGTGAGTTGACGAACACAAAGTATCATAAATGCGAGACAGTTATTTGCATATATGCGAGTCATGATATTTGCATATCGCGTATATTTTACTTAATATACAATATTTTATTAAAAATTTTGTGTTACGAAATGACACATGTTCTTGGCTCTATGTGGAAAATAACTTCTATTTACAAGTCGTTTATGAAAACGTAATAAATTTCTTTGGTACAGAGAACATTCAATTTCTCTGTATCTACATTTTTATCAATTGAAGCAAATACTTCGACCCTTTGGTCATAACGCGCTTTTATCGCATCTTTTTGATAAAAATAGAAACACCGATAGAAACACTGAAACCTTAATTTTCAATCTCTAATTAGCCAATTACAGTAATTACCGATATTGTTCACAAAAATATATACTAATATTTTTCTGGAGAATCTCACAAAGAACGAATAGTACATCTTAGTTCTTAGCATTACTTTCTTAATGATCGTGCACGGCTGTTCGAAACGTGGACATTGAATTAGCGCTAATAACCGTGCCACAATTTCCGCAATTAAATAGCGCAAGTTGCGAAAGTTATAAAATTAACACGGTCGATACATGGCTACGCGGACTTTGCCGTTAATCCTCGTTTGCGGCCGGAAAAGAGTCTGTCGAGAGTTTATTCGCAGTGTAATATCGCGTAAAACCGCAGAAATTCCGATACTATTCCATTATATCAAAATTTTAGCCACGACGTTTACGAAAAAGCTTTCAACGATCAGTTTATGTTTTGAATAACTGTTTTTTATTTCTTCGAAAATGAAGTTATATACCTATTTTGATGTCAAAGTGACGTCTTTCATGTCATTTTTACAGCAAATAACTTCAGCTTTTGCTATCTGCATGGGATAATAGCGATGATAATAATCTTTAATGAAATAGTAATTGAATAATGACTATGACTTTTGGGCAAAGAGTTCTGGAAAGTAACCATTCGCATCTACTAAACAGTAATTAAATATTAACTACGATTATTGGCGAATAGTTCTGAAAAGTAACTGCGTGGACAGTAATGGAATTTCTCGCATATAATTACTAGTCGAGTAACTACAGAAATTGAATAGTAACTACAAAAATTTGAGTAGTTCTAAATAGTTCCTTTTTATACGGAATGCTCGGTTGCTGTCAAAGTTCTGCCAACATAATATGTAGTACACAATTTGTGATCTTGGCAGACTCTCTATCTGAGATATATACACATATATTAAATTTCTAGCACTATATTTTTCATTTAAAAATATTTATTTGGAAATTAAATTTTTTAATTTAAGTTATATTTTGAGATAAAAATCATTTTTAAGAATTATCAAGGTAACTTAAAGTTTAATGTTAAAATATTGTAAGTAAAAGTAATATGTGTTTGAAGTTTTGCTGTGGAAGAAATGTAATATTCTGGATCTTTTTATAAATTTAAAAGTAACCTTTTTAATATACAAAAATAAATATTAAAGGAAAAGATAAACTTCAACATTGAAATTTATTTCTTATGACTTGTAAGCAAAGATTTTTTATGTGCATATCTTCTTGTATCTTTGTGTGTAAAACATTAAGAAAAGTTATCATATTCAAATATATAAACCATGTGTTACAAAATAAAAGTAAAAATAAAAATAAATATAAATATAAAAAATAAAATAAAGTCAGATCTTCGTCAAAGCTTTAGTACCACTCAGAGGTCGCTTAGTGATTTTGCGGGTATTTGAATCTCTGTCATGACATGTGTGCACAGCATCCTACAGTTTTCTTGTCATTTTTGCACTGGCAATAGTAACTGACTATTGCCTCAGCACCGATCTTTTCTTGATCTACTACATAGATCAAATATTTAGTTTGATTGCGGTGCCAGATTAGCCCGTCATCACTATAGAAGGTGGCTCTTGATGGCGAATGGATCTGATAACTTTTTATTTATGAGAGTCTTTCGTGACCTATAACTTGTGAAGGACGTACTTAACAATTTTGTTGAAAACTTTGACCTATTCATGGAGACCTTTCGAATGGCACCTGTTTTGACCTGCGACGCGTTAGGCAATTTTTCATAGATTTTTGGCATCCTCCTTATTTGTGTTCGCTAGTCGCGCGCAAATTGCCGCATAAAATAGCGCGAATAGTTGTTGCAGGTCGACCGTAAGAAAAAAAAAATTAAACACGTGGTTGTATGCGACGTCAATAAGGTTGCATAAGGTCGTTTATTTATAAAGACGCTTAGAAAAATACAGGGCGGAAAGACCCACGTTTATTTATAGTTTCTCTCTTGTCCGGGATTATAAATAAATGATTCAAAGATTTTCAAATGCTATAGTAATATTGCTTGCTATATCTTAAGCTTTACGAGCTCCGCTAGTTTTCATTGTATTTTACTATGATTTTATTTTATTGTTAATGAAGAAGCAATTGGATGATGTATGCAGGTATTTTCAAGTTATTGGTTTTAAAGTTTATATAACAGTATTGGAATTTAACGTTACATGTGTTCTATTGATCTGTAATAAAATTTTAATAATTCTAAATCATTATTAAATTATAATATATCACATCATATTTATTTTGAAATCGAGATCTTTAAAATTTTAATGATAGACGTATTTTGTATGTAACATTTATGAAGATCGCTTCCGTTTTATTGGAATAGTGAATGTACCTAGTCTTTTAAATAAGATAAGAAAATAATGATAGTGAAGACAGATGATATATAATATAAGTTATATAAGTGGATAATAATATATTTATTGAGATGAATTTATTTTGCAAATAAGGTTTTCAAATATACTTTTGTTTTATCGCAAATTATAAAACGCACATAATCTAAAAATAAGAATTAAGCTGAAAAATTTTATACTTTAAAAGAGAATCAAGAGCCATCGAAAGCAAATTTTCTTGAGGAAATTTTCTTTTCAATAATAATTTAAGAATTTCGTAGAACATTTACGAAAGTTAGCCATTTTTCAACCGAAAGCGTGGCGTAAAATGGGGATTTAATGAAGCACAATGAAGTTCGGATGTTATATGCTACGCCAAAACAAAAGTTTATTCTAGCCTTAGCAGGAATTTATCCTAGTAAACATTGAGAAGTAAGAAGGAAGGCACGAAGAGAGGAGAGAGAGAGAGGGGGAGAGAGAGAGAGAGAGAGAGAGATATTCTTGTGTATACTTAATCCATAAAGTAATACAAATGTATTTCTCACGCGACGGGTCTTCTGAGATCTAAGTTCATTTTAATCAATTTTCTACATGATTATAAAAATTTTCTACATGATTATAAAAATTAAAATTACTGTGTGTGTGCGCGCGCGCGCGTATATATTTTTTTTAAACATACAATGGAATAGTTATATTACAGAATTTAGATTTAAAAAAAACTCAAAAATAAAATATATTATTAATGGTAGAGATTTAAATAAATGAAAATTTATTTTTATTAATAACTCAAAATTTACATGTCTTCGCTTTGTATTTTAGTTATTAAAAGAAACAAAAATTTTTTAGTAAAAACTAACTTTTTATTAATGATATTAATTTATATTAATATTATTATAATAAAAATATTTTTATTATTATTATTATAACTAATTTTTTTTTAAGTAGAAATTAATTTTCAAGTATTTAAATCTCTAGAAGATTCGTCACAAAAATTTAATTTGTCCATGTTGGTTTATTCAATTTTTTTTGTATCTTTTAATCATAATTTTAACAGAAAATGAACTGATTTTGTAACTAATTTTAATTTTAGATTTTATTACAAGTATAAAGCACTAACATGAATTTTTTTGTATTACAGAAAGCTAGATTGGCACGTATCAGAATCGCGAAGGCGTCGAGCGGTGCCGCTTTCGTAAGCAAAAAGAAGGCAGCGGAGGCTCGTTTGGCCGCTCAGGAGAGCGGGCTGCAGTTGGAGGAGTTTTACAAAGAAGAGGATATCTTCGAGCTGCAACATCATCACCTACTTCGTTGCTTGGAGAAGACCACGGTAACTACTTCTATCTAATAACAACATATTGTGCTTTTATGCGAAAACTCTAATGTTCCCTTAGTACCCGCTGAATTACTCTAAAATCCTTGAAATTTCACCGATAAATTAACTTTCTTAAACAAGGAATTTTATCTTTTATTTCTTGCTTTGATAATGAAAGAACTTAGGCAATATTCTTTCTTCTTTTATTATATATTCTAAAGTTAACGCTATATAAATTAAGATGTGCCAAGAAAAGAAATTCGTCTTTAATGTAAAGAAGATTTGTTTTTAAAGCAGTATACACATCGATTTGGTAATTAAAATTATAAATACTGAATGTACTTATCTGCTGTGCTGTTTTTTAAATCAGAATTTTAGTAAATTTTATTTAAAATAACAAATAGAATAAAGAGATAATATGGGCATATTATCAATACATTATATAATGATGTATTACGTAATGAGTGCTTTTCAGCAATGAAACACAGTCATACACTATGTGACACAGTAATACACAGTATCGACTTGTAACTGAAACGTTGCTTAGCTTTTTTATTTCACCTTTTTTATTTTTGGAAATACAAAAAGGTTTCATATACCTGTATCCAATATATTCGAATATAATCTTAGAATATCTTATTGGAGTATCACTTCTAGAAAAATAAATGGTAATAAAAATGGTAAAAATTTGTTATTAATGAAGTGATACATAAAACAACACAATCGAACACAGCATTTATCTGTTTACGATTGTATTGTTTTATGTGTAGTTGGCATGCATAGAATCGTATATCCGTGTTATACTGTATCGCCTGTGTACGTTATTGGAATGTACCCAATATGTATTGATATTTTCTATTAAACTGACTACTACTAAAAGAAGAATGACCTCTAGGAAAATAAAGAAAATCCCTTCAGGATAATATAAAGGCTACTTTGCTATCATTACGTAGAGTTTTTCGACATTTTGCATAAAGAACGTTGTGACGAAGATTAATCAGCAAAATGATAATAATTAATCATTCATGAATGTAATGTTCTTTCGGCGAACGACGACAAACTCCTACAAAAACGCAGTATATCTTTAGTGTGCTTCAGCGTTCCGTCATTAATCCCACGCGAAGCGACAAAGCAACTGCATCGTCGTGAATGCATCGTCGACACTTCCGTTCTCGCGTCGAGAATTCAATAGGTACTCCGCCTCGAAAATCCGGCAGTCCGTTTCGCGAGTATTGCCGAGTACCGGAGTAATTTGAATAAACCCTAGTCACTCCCTCCATCTCCCGGACGCTCCGTCTGCTCGTTTAATTTTAGCCCGGTGAGAGGTTGATTGCGCAAGCGAGGGTTGCCGCGATGTGTAGTCTTTATCGAGCCCGAATACATGCGACCAACCCTCGTTTAGCTTCGTCGGAGCTATTGCTGCTACAGAAATGTGCTGTTGTGGAATCGTACATGTGGGACATAAAAAATTTCTTACTTTTTATGCAAATAGTAATAATGTAATCTTCTTACGGACTCTCTCAAATTCAACAACAAAAAATCAAAAAAAATCAGGGCGAATAAAAATCAGCGTGATAGTTAATACGCAATCTTAAATCTTTATTCCAGAAAATAGAATCTTTATTCAAAAAAATAGTACGTTTCAGTTCACTTTGGAATCATCCTCAGAAATACAATTTCAAAATATCAATCCCTTTTTGTCCAAGAAAAAAATCACCATCAAATTAACAGATTTGATATTGTAATCCCAAGACAGAAGAAATTCGTTTCGACAATGGATCAAAACCAATTAAAATTTATTATCACTAAATTTATTATCACTGTTGATACTTTTTAGTGATAATAAATTTTAATTGGTTTTGATCCATTGTCGAAACGAATTTCTTCTGTCTTGGGATTACAATATCAAATCTGTTAATCTGATGGTGATTTTTTCTTGGACATAAAGGAATTAATATTTTGAAATTGTATTGCTGAGGATGATTCCAAAGTAACTTGAAACGTACTATTTTTTGGAATAAAGATTCTATTTTCTGGAATAAAGATTTAATTGCGTATTAACTACCATGCTCTCATTCGCTCTGATTTTTTTGGATTTTTTGTTTTTGTACAAAAGTTACAGTAAAGTTATACAAAAGTGATAATGTAGTAAAATATGAAAATGATCTTAACATATAATTTTTAAATTAAAAATAGCATTAAAGTATAACGTTAGATTTGATAGTCGGAATATATTATAAACATATGCGATGACTGATTTCGAGTAATTCTTCTTTATTAAATGCAGAATAACGGTTTATATAATCTATGCAATCTCCGTTGAAATACATAAAAATTAAGATTTAATGAACGCAATTCATGAATAATTAAAATCTAATTTTATGGATTAAGAATATATTATATTGCTACTTTTTTTTTACCTGATTTCGTTATCATTTATAATAAAATAAAAATTTGTCGAATTACAGAAAACGTTAGTTAAAAAGAAAATAGAAGCTGTGTAAGAGGATTAATATAAACCTCAAATAAATTTTCCAGAGAAATTCGATTCCGCGTAAAAGGATTTGTAGCTGCAGAAAAAGGTGCCATTTTTCCGATACATTTTGCTTGTTATATATATACATATGTGGATGTTCTGCGCAGAGATGCATATAGATTTATACAATTAAAACATTTAAAACTGCGACATGCACGCGTGTGCGAGATGTGTACATCGAAAAGATTATAAATAGGTACGCCTCATGATTTATACAACGTATGTAATGACAGCTAGTTATAGGTATACAGAAGGGAGTTTATTATGCTAAAAAGAGAAAAAGAGAGGAAATATGTGACATAGGGATATTTATAAGGATATTTATAAGGATAATAAACGTTATAATTCATAGGACAGTTTATTAGCATAAAATGATACTTAGAAATTGATAAATTGATAATTTTTAAAAATTGATAATTTTAAAACGGAGAATAAATTGATATTTAAATAATAGTACAAATATAAATAAATTATCTATACCTCTGCGGTTGTTTTTTTTTAGTGCGTAAATAATATATTTACAACATTGAATAAAAAATGTATCATGAAAAGATGTATCACAAATCAAAAAATTTGAGTACTTCGCTCATTTGTTATAATACGAGCACAACTTGGGTAACTGTAGAAGTATAGCAGTGAAACATCTTTTAGTGCAAGCTGAAATATCCAATCTAAATCATCTAATAAAAATTGAAGTAACGATAAAAGTAATGACTGAATCGTTACTGTAAAAATGTAACTATGTTATCGTTACTGTTATAGATAGAAAAAAAGTAACGATCGTTACCGAAAAAAAATAACAAGAAAGGTAACGGCGTTACAAATAACGCGTTATTTTCCAACTCTAGGATTTAACCTTATGAGCTGTCTAAATAATTCTCACTGTGTCAGTATTAATATTAATCCTAACATGGTGTCGATTTAAAACTCTTGATATTTATATCAACATCATGGTATAGATTTAAAACCTGTGATATTAAATCTGTATCATGTTAGTATCATGTAGTGTTAATATTAACAACAGTGAAATTATAAACTCTGCATAATATTAAATACATATTAAATACATATTAAATTATCTGATTTTAAACTAAATGAACAAAATTTCTCGATTAAAATTTCTCTCGTTTCGTCTTAGTAAGAAGCGTATAATTTCTAAAAAGAATCGTTACACGATGTTTCAAGATAAAGCATCATTAAATAACAATTCCTGGAGACATTCAACTTATATGAACGTTTCATCCCAGGAGTGCTGGTAGACTAAGTAAAGCTAAACGACGCACTGGGAGGTTGAAAAACGAAAGCGAAGATGTCAGTGTAGACATCAAAATTGGAGCAAGTATTTCAGTAATTTCAGCAATTGTAAAAAATCTTTCAGAGCTATTTTACTGGCACCCAGATTCAGAAGCAGAATTCACCCATACAATTGATGCTTCAGAGACCACCGTAGAAATAATAGTGCAACAACGGTCACAAAAGGGATAGTTACAGCTCGTATTTCTGAAAAAAGAAGCTTAGCCGAGCTTAGACTAAATATAGATATACGATCGAGAACTATTGGCGATTTACTCAGCAGTTAAACAGTAAAGGTACAATAAAGATAGAAGGACAATTTATATATCGATACGAATCATAAAAATCCATATACACTTTCAATCAAAATCAATTTCTTAGTTCTTTTCGACAGATTCGCTATTTAGAGTATATCGATCAGTTCATAATTGACATTTGACATATATTCGGACAGGATACTATTGTAGCAGGTATTCTCTCGAACTAAAAAAAATCCATGTAATAAATTTTCGAAGAGCTAGCCAAATCTCAAGAGGACGATGCAGAACTAAAGACAATCCTGCAGAACGAAAAAGTATTAAAACTTTCCAAGAGATACAAAGATATATTAGATCACCAGGCAACTCTTAGACTACCACAAATTCTTTCTATCCAATTCTACTTTTATTCCAAGATATTATTTACTGCGGTTTCTGTCAATTTTTATTTTTATTCCAGTTACATATATTTTAGATTTTTACATTACTTTACATTTATGAATCTTGAAAACGGCAATTATGTTTCTATTGTAAGAAAATATCAATGACAACGAATGAAGATTATTATTAAATTTTCGATTTATTCCTTTAAAAAATATGGGTATGAATTACATAATTCTTACTGTGTTAGTATTGATGTAAACATCAACGTAGATTTATAAAATCCATGATGTTAAATCCATGATGGTGTTTATACCAATATTAACATTGTGTGAGAATTATATTTAACATTCACTTTAAACACATACAATTTTCGAGTATATTGTCTTTTATTTTTATTTTTTCTTTAAAGTTTTAAATACTTTTGTAAAATAATTAAGAAAGCAGAACTAACAAAAAGAAAGAAACGCAGTAGTATACTAGCAGTATATACAATGTTTAATTGTTCATCTTTTATAACCTAACATGTCAGTAAGGTAATTCTATCT